TAGTAGTAAATATTGTAATTAAATTTTTTTTTGACATTAAAATTTGAATTTTTATTGATTTATGTGCCATAATTTGAAGTTTTTTATTTTTATTACTTTCGTTGATTTGACAAAAATTTGCAAAATTTAATCTATAAGTAATTATTTCCCCTCAAAACTATATTTTTCACAATATTTTCACGTTTTTTAAATTAAATAATTATAGTTGAAATAAAATGTAATATATAAAATAGTTGAGCTCAATAAATGGTAAATGGTATACAATAATAAATTTAGAATTTTATGATAATAGATCAAATTTGGTAGAATAATAAACTGTTAAGTAAAGGTCAGATTGATAAGTCAGAAGGAAAGTCTAACTGACGAGTCATTAATTGAATATACTGAGATTAAACTTTCGAATTTTTCATACTTTATTTGGCTAACTGTAATAATAAAATGCAGACTACAAGTTTGTTCAATAATTTATTTATTTATTCAAGCAATTAGATTGAGTGATTAAGATATAATTTTCACAAAGATTTAATCTAATTTAATTACTTTTTTCTTAAATTTAATAATGCATAAAAAGAATCATTCTTACTGTACAAAAAATTGAATTGTTGATGCATCTAATTTTGGACCAATTCATAACTTCCTCATTTATGAGGTGGAATAAAATGAATCAATAAATAGTCGTATTTGAATTAGAATTAGAATACTCAAAAATAAATCATCTCAAATTCGAGGATAAATTTTCAATTTTAAGTGATTGATTTAAGCTAATTTTGTTGTCATAATTTAAAAAATATCAAAACTAAAATTTGAAATGAATTGTTTTAGTTTAAAATTTTTCTAAAATTGAAAGATATTTACAGATTTTCTGATTAGCTTATAAAATTATTTTTACAAAATTTCTTACATTTACAATATTCAAATAATTTGCATATTTGTGAATTTTTTTGCATCATTCTGTTACTTGTTTCTAGTGGTTTGATTTGAGTATTAATATACTTACATGCAAAAACTTTATTTATATTAAATATGGAAGAAAACATTTTTAATACGCTATTTAAAATCAGTATGTAACTCGTATTATTTTAAAACAGATATGTTTTTGTATTTAGAGAGTTAAAATATCAGTAGAACATTGTTTTTCTTGTGGCGATTACTCATAAGTGTCGGTATAATTAAGCTATCACAGCTATCACTATAGTTATTATCATATTATCACGATGATATTATTGTTTTAATTATAATTTTAGTTTCAGATTTGGTACCGAAAATGGTTAGTGGTGCACATGTTGGATTTATGGTCCGTACCGCCATGCATAAATTGGTGCTATTATGCTCAATTAGCTTGCCCTCATTTAGCCACGACTAAAGTGGTTGATTATGCTGGCCACCCAAGTTTTCAGTGTAGAGGTCAGATTTTATCAAAAATTATTTTTTTAAGGTTGATAATGAAGTCATAAAAATGACTTTAACTTTTTACGTGCAAACTTCTTTTTTACGTAGAATATCTGTATAAGCCATATATATATATATCAACAATGTTTAAAAAACTGAATGATTAGATAAATAAATTACACAGCTGCAAATTTTGATAGTAAATTTAAATAAGATCTAATGCAAATTTTAGCACTTACATACATGCTAATATTTTTTATAAAAAATTAAGTAATTAAAAAAGCAAATTAAGTAATTAGAAGTAACTGCAGATTTGTATATACCCCAAGTCAGTGCTCCACGCAATAAAGATCAATCAAAGTTGCCAAATTATGCCTCCAAGAAGAAATCATCGATGCCTTCTAAATGTGCATGTCTTCATCCATGTGATTTTGGTGAACTTCCCGATCTAGCCGAGATCAACCCTGAATTAGAACAAAATCGTCCAATTACCTATTCAAATTCACTTTCCACAGCAAATGATGAGGCAAAACTTAAAAATAAACATGTTTATTGTTTAATAATTAATTATTCAGTCTAAATAATTGTGTGAAAATAAAAGTTCAAGCAAAATTTTATAGCAATTACAATTTATTCCACAAAAAATTTGAATATATATCATATTAAATTTTAAAATTTATAAAACTCGTTATGCTCAAATCAAAATTTCAAAGTAATATCAATAAATAAACATAATTATTTTAATTTTCGTTCACAATTTGTAATATATTTTTTATTTGAAAATCGCTGAAATCTAATTAGTTACTTTTATTGAAATTAGCAATAATTAATGAAAAGACTTTTACAAAGTAATTTTTACAATTAAGAAAATTTGTTGTTTTCAAAGTTAAAACTCACTGCTTCTAACAACTTATGAGAACTAATGATTGAATTATTTTGAGGTAAACTATTAATAAATGAAAAATGTACGAGTGCACAAAGTATTTTAATAATTCGAATTTATTTGTTATTGTTATATTTTAGCATAAATCAGTTAGTTGACTGACCATGAGATTTTGGTGATTTTTACAATTTAAAGTTTTTTTGGTTTTTTAAAAGTTACAGTTTATTTTTTTGACTTCAAAAAAGTTATTTTATTGTTTGATCATTACTGCTATGTATTGAATAAAAGTATATGCAAAAATAAAATTTCAAAAAAACACAAAAATTTTGTGCAAAGATTTGAAATTAATACTTCAAAAATAATTTTCAGGAATTAGATTTTTTCCCAGCTGCTGAACACTGCACTATTAGACGGCATATTTGTGGAAGTTCAAATTATGATTTACGTGATCATCACGTAGTTTATCGAAGTTCTGCGAAGGATGTTTCAAAAACGAATGCAAATGTGGAAATGAAACATACAGTTGATGTGAACAATATTGCTAGCACATCGATAAAACCATCGGATGATATTACTATAAAATCATATTCAGAACAAAATCAAAAAATTTTAAATAATCAAATTGGATATATTTCTCAGTGGTGGACAAAACATCGAGCTCGGCGGCGTTTTTTATTTACTGATAAAAGTAGTATGATAACTTATGCAATTAGTTCAACGACTACTACTACTATTAAAACTACAGTAACTTTTAATATTATCACCAATACTTCCACTACTATTAAAACTACTACTTTTACTAGTAGTTCTGGTGTTAATTGGAGGATAAGTTGGAGTACTTATTCAGGAAATCATATTTATACCTTGTTTTTCTTTCTGTTATTGCTCAGAAGGCCGCCAGTTTTATAGCTTTATTTTTTCTTTCTAATTATTTAATTTCTTGTTTTTATGTAGTCTTTTTTAATATGTTGAGAAGTTCTGATTCTTATACTGTTTATACTAGTTAGTTATTGGAAGGTAGCTTATATGAAATATGCATAAAATACAGTTAATGAAATCCTTTCATAGTAATTTTGACAAATTGTTAATTTTCGTTAACTTTTTAATAATGATAATAATGAGTGAAAATGATTTGATATTTGATTAAATATTAATTAATGAGTTTGTTAATTAATAAATTAGAACTTAGAAACTTTTATTGATATAATAGAAAATTTTCAATTATTATTCTGAAGGGAAGAAGTTTTTTTTGTTGCCTTTTTTGTTTTTAATTTTATAAATTAAAAATTTATTGTTCTTGCAGGCTTACAAAGTTTCATCTGTTAATGTAAAATGTTTCGAACTTTCAATATTAAATTATTTCAAAAATAAAATATTTCGATTTAATCAAAATGAATTTTTTTTAAATTGTTTAACTTTTTTTTTCAAATTTTGATAAATAAAACTGCCATAAAAATTTTGCCCATTAATTAATTTATTTTTAATAAAAGTTGAATTTCAGTAAATTTGTTAAGCAAAAAGTGATGGAATCAATCAGGCAATAAATTCATTCAATAATTTTTCATATCATATCAAATTGGAATATGCATGAAAAAAAATTTTAGGAATAATAAAATCTAAGAATTTATTCTTAATCTATTAAAACTATTGCTGGCATAAATAGTCCTTTTATGCAAATTATAAAAATAATTTTTGGATATTTTGTTATAATGCTTATTAAAATTTATTTTCAATGATCATTGAAAAACTGTCAATTTTTTCTGCTTGAAAAAGGTTACTTTTATTATTAAAATGAAAGCTTTTTTGTTGATGAAAATTATTAGCTTAAAATTACATTTGATAATAGATTTTGTTGCCTTTGTTATTGGCTACTTCAACGAAATTATAACTTTAATTTATGCTTAAAAATGCACAATCCAAAAGTAATAAACTAAATACTATTTGTTATTTTAGAAAACATTTATTCAAATTTTTAGCATTTTAAAGTAATAAATCTTAATTTATTTGCATACTGCAATTACATTTCAAAAAAGAACGTAAATGCTAGATAATCCATGAATGATGGCATAATTTAATTATAAAAAATTCTCTCAACTATTATAATTTTATTTAGCTTGAAGTGAACAAAGTTGGACACATTTTGTCGAGCATAAATTTTTTATTTTAAAAATTTAAAAAAGAATAAAAATAAAATGGTATAAGTAAGCAATATTTGTAAAATTTTTGCAAAATATCATGAAAATTTAAATTATTGTAATCTAAATAGTGCTATTTTTACGGCAATTTATAAATTTTTAATCCTTTTTCTCTATAAAATTTCTCTTTCAAGCAAATAAAAACATCAGATTCAAAAAATTGTCATAAATTTATTTTTTTCACAGCATAATTATCACTGAAAATGTAAAACACAAAATCTTTTTGGTCAATAACTCAACGAATTCATAGAAAGTAACTGGAAATTGGTGGATAAATTTATGCAAATATAACAAACTTGCAAAAATAGATAATTCAAAATTGCTGTGTACAAAAATTTGTACTGGGTTACAGCTTACAGTAAAAGTTAGTATTTACATTTGAAG